TTTTTTCAGTACTTTCTTATATTTTTCCATCATAATTCTTACATTTTTCTTTTAACCGTAAATAAAAAATAATGAAAAAATTATCGGCTCCTTCGCGAAGGTTCGGGAGTAGTAGGGCGTCAGGCCTTCACTAAGGAGCCGATAACCCAACTCGACAAGCCGGGATACTCAGCCAAGGAACCGACTAGTTACCAGCCCGACAGGCGGGATGACCAGCCGCCGAACCCGAGCCCAATATCCGTTACCTGCCATCCATGCCAAATAACGAGCCGCCCAGCTTCTCTTCCTGGCTCACATTTTTTTCATTATTTTTTATTTAAGGTTAAAAGAAAAGTGTAAGAATGATGATGGAAAAATATAAGGATGATGGAAAAGGAAAGAAAGGTTATAGTTCATACCAAAGTGAAGTTATAGATCATTGCTTATTAAGTGCCATAGCCTACTATTGCTTAAGGAATTACACTGATCGAAATGTCACTTTTAGACTGATTCACATTTCGCTTTCAAAAAACAGTAAATAAGGGACAGTGCTGTTTAAAAGTTTCGCTTTTGTGTGAGATGATTTTTATGCCAAAAATATCTTATGAAGCTTCATAAATGCAATCCACGCTACCTTTTTTCGGCACAAAATTCTCTAATCATTTGTGCTACCTGCTTCAAGCAGGCATACCAAACGGAACCAATCACTTCAGTCAATAAATAATTGGCCAACGCACGGGCTACCCGTGCAAAGATACGTTTTTTGCATAGTTCCCCACAGTTTTTGTGCTACCGGCATCGGTTTTTTGGCAAATCCTTCTAGCTAAACAAATTAAGACTGGCCGCCAAAACTGGCAGGAAATACCCCCTTAAAATTTCAGCTTTCTAGCATCTCAGATCCCCGAATTATGAACTTGCGCGAGAAAAATTTTGGCGGGCCCGTACGCGGGTACCACGCTTACCCGGGGGTTGGGTTTGAGCTCATTAGTACCTATTTGGACGGGGAACATTCCTTTAAAATTTCAGCTTTCCTGGTCCGCGAGTTACCAACTTACCCTTAAAAAACTTACGCGGGTACCCCGCCCATTTTGGGGAAGGGGGCTCGTACGTGCATGTAGATTATGCTCCCAAAGTTTCAGCCCTGTAGCTTTCGCCGGTCTCGAGATGAAAAATCGGTACAGACGAACACACAGCCACACAGACAACCTCTCGTCAATATGCGTTTTCTGCACTGCATAGCTCCAAAAACCCATAAAAAACTACAAAATCATTACCCTGTAGTGGAACTTCCCAAGGGACTGTAAATTCGAATCGATGTTTGTAACGGGGAACGTAGTGAGTTGGATTTTGGCCGCTTCAATAGCAAGTCGCAATTGCTGGATATCTCCCTTGTCTCCAAGCGCCTTCCCACGATTTCTTCGTATAAACTACAAAAATACACATTGATGTCATTGACATAAAAGCAACAAAAGTGATAAGACAGAGAATGATCAAAAGAAAAACCAATAAGACCTCCATCAAATGATGCTGAACACGATCATTAAAATCCTGCCCGCCAAGCCTATTGTTACCGGCCATTGCTATCGTCATAAACATAACACCTTGCAACCATAATATTGAAACATCCAACGTTCCACCACCTGAAAAAAACACAGAGTGTCAACGACAATACGTATAGACAAAAATAAATACCGGCGCGCATCAGCGTATCCGAGATGATGATTTCTCCTACCAAAACTTTCAAGGAGATGACAAGAATTTGCAGAGTCATACATGAGCAGGGGATGCTACGCTAAAATTTCAGCTTACTGGCTTTCTTAGTTCCCGAGATAATAATTTTCTCCGCCAAAACTTTCACGGGGCTGTGTGTGAGATCCGGCCTGCGGGGAGACTAAATTTAAATTTATGGGACTGGATGTAGGCAAGGGATGTCATCGTAAAATTTCGGCTTACTAGCTTTCGTGGTTCCCGAGATAATAATTACCTTTCCAAAACTTCTTACGGGGCCGTAGGTATTAATCAAGAGCGCTGGAACGCTGAATTTGAATTTGCAGGGTCGTACGTAAGCAGAGGTCATTGTCCTAAAATTTCAGTTTCCTAGATTGCGTGGTTCACGAGATAGTAATTTACTCGAAAAAAGTTTCACGGAGGCGTATATGCTACCCGCGAGCAGGGAAAGGGCGAATTTAAATTTTCTTGGTCGCACATGGGCAGTGGAAATATCGATAAAATTTTAGCTTCCTAGATTCCGGGGTTCCCGAAATAATAATTTTCCCCGCCAAAACTTTTGCGGGGCCGTACGTATTACCTGCGGGTATGAGAAGGCTGATTTAAATTTGCGGGGCCACACGTGGGTGGGGGAAATTCCCCTAAATTTTCAGCTTCCTAGCTCCCGTGTTCCCGAGTTGAAAGTTGGGAACAAGCTGCTACGGACACATACACACACAAACACACACACACACGCACACACACAGACAAACCCGTGACAAAATGCGTTTTATGCAGTTATTGCACAGCACAAAACGCATAAAAGACAGAGCAAAACTACACTAGCATACTTAAAGACCTCGCACACATCTGCAAGAATGTGAACTAGAAAGGCCAGGAACAGCTGCGTCTAAGAGATTGGCATATTACGAGGACAGCAACAGAAATTAGGGCCAAATTTTGTCTTTCATAAATTACAAAAAACCACAGAAACCAACCCAAATCAACGACAATAATGTACTGAACACCCTTTTTCTTATGTAAGCCGTAAGCGAGAGCAGCTGCCGTCGGTTCACTGATCACACGTCGACATTCGATCCCTGAAAGAACCCCAAAATAGTCAAAAGACAGTCACAGGAAAGCAGAATTTAGTCAGTTTCAAATCAACGATAAAAGAAGACCAGCCTGCTTTTTCAAGCGCTAACACCGTAGCATTACGTTGTGCATCATCGAAATCGGCTGGCACCGAAATAACTCCCTGTTTGAATTTCGTTCGGTACTTCTTTTCAGCTGCTTTTCGAAGATAATCGATTATTATCGCACCAACTTCTTCAGGTCTAATTTTCCTGCAAAAGACAGAACTTTTCAAATTAGACGCCACAACTGAACCATTTTGTGCCCAATCGAAAAAACTCACGGACACGGCACTAATTTTTGGCTCGGACAACATTCAGATTTAAGACTTTATGAAAAAAAAAGCGATATTTAAAACAACGGCAAATAAAAATTAGCTATCGAAAAGTCCAGCCATTAAACCCACTTTACTTTACCAGATTCCAACGGTACAGTAAAATAGACACTTCCTTCGTCATCCAAATCGATTTTAAACGGATATCGCTTCTTATCGTCCTGTAAAAAGACAAATATCTGAGTAAAACAATAAAATTTTGCTGCAAAATTTACGATAGAACATGGAATTTATTCATCAAATACAGCAAATGTATACTTAATGTGTATGGTTCGAAAAAAGTTTGCAGATGATGCTCAGATTTACAATGCTAATCGAAAATGTTCAAAAACAACTTCAAAATGGCCAGAGATGTAATAATTGACAAATTTTTTGGATCGATCTTTTATTAAATTAACATCAAATCCTAATCATCGAGGAGGACGCAAGAAAAACGAAATAAACATACAAAAAAAGGCTGATAACTCTCAAAAAAAAGTCAAATCAGCAGCTTAAGTTAGGGAATGCACTGACTTGGAATTCGGGGTCATCCGCTGAGAATTTCTTGCCGATAAAACGTTTCGCATCATAAATTGTACCTAATGGATTATGCTCTTGCTGTTCCACTGCTCGTAAGCCCACTAACAACGTCCCGTTTGGCCTGAAATAGAAAAAAAACCTAAATTATCTATCATTACTATGTGCTACGCCCATTACTAATTCATGCAGCTTCTGCTTTACTATCACTTGCATTAAAAACAACGAAAAAACCTGTTCGTTTCCCGTAAATAAAGTAACACATTGCTTATCAAAAAAACCCTCACTTTATCACGAAAGGAACGCTTTAACAAAAAAAAAAAATAAATAGCAACGAACACAAGGCTAGCCGGTGCGGTCATGCGTTTTGTGCAATTCAGCCCATCGAACGATTGCCTATTAATGATTTTCACTGTTTTGTACTTTAGTCTTTGCAAAAATAGTTCAAACAATGGAAAATAGTTAAAAATTTCACGTACCTGCGCATGAAAGCTGAATTCGAAACCTTGAAGGGTGAATATCTTTTCGTAATTTTACTCCCCAAAATTTTCACGAAGCCGTAGGTGATACTCAAGAGCGCGGGAACGTTGAATTTGAATAGGCAAGGTCGAGCGTGGGCAGGA